TCGCGTGGTGGTGGAGTGGGGGGGAGGGGGTGCTCAAGTTCTACGGTGACACACTTCCAGATGTTTACCTTCACCTTGGCTCCCTTCCCTCCCCTCCCCCGGCTCTATGGCCGCGAGTCACGACCTGCTCATGTCCAGGTCAAACACAAGTGGCGAGCGGCCCCACACCGTAAGGCCCGGCAGCCGAGGGAGGCGAGCCCAACTTTTAGCCATCAGCGACGGCTCGCGCGACACTCGGTAAATTTGTGTGGAATAATCAGCCTCGTAGGGTAGGGGGAAGGGGTGGGTGAAGGGGTAGGGGCAGGTAGGGGTAGAACCAGGGGCAGGGGCAGAGGCAGGCTGCAGGCGCGAGCAGCGAGTCCAACCGTGGGGCAGCGTCAGGTTCAGGTTGCGCGCCCGAGCGCAAGTTTTGCAGTGCGTTTGGGGTGCTTTAGCTTTAGCGCGGAGCAGAAGAGAAGGGTGACAAAGGCCGTGCGGCTGGCCTGGCCGTGCGGCGGGGTGGGGCGGGGTGGGGCGGCAGGGCGTGTGTTGAATTAGCAGCAGTAGCAGCAGCAGCAGCAGTGGCGGCGCCGCTGTGCTGGGCCCTCAGTCCGATAACAACGGGCTGGCAGCTCCCCCCCCCCCATTCCCCCACCCCCAAACCTCCCGCACTCCCTCTGCACCTCTCGGCAAACAAAACACTTAAAGCGGGCCGGACGCGAACGAATGATGGCGGTTTAAATAAATTGAGTAGTCGCGTCAGCTACTTTTAATGCTTTATACACTTTCCCCAACTTTTATTCCGGCACAGGCGCTCGAGCTTTGAGAGTGTGTGAGAGAGAATGTCGGGCATGTGCTGCGCGCGCGGGCGGTGTGTGTGTGTGTGTGCGCGCGCGCGCGCGCTGGTGTCGAACACTGATCCCCTCCATTAATCACACCTCAATGAGGTGCGGTGTGGGTCGCCGTGTCTCCCTGAAGCACATTCACGCTTCCCCTCTGTGGGCCGAATACATAAAGAACAAAAAAAAAGAGTGAAAAATACAAACCGCTTCGCGGACGCCCCCTTTGAAAAATCATCGAAACAATCGATTGACAGGAATTTTCTCGCGTTTTCGGAGGGGAAGGGAGGGAGGGGACCTGACGGACAGTGAGGGCGAACAGCCCTTCCCGCAACACTGAGCCTGCATGATGCATGACAGCCTCCGTACTTCTCTGTTCAGAGTTCAGAAAAATTAAAGAGTAGTTCTCTGGTGTGTTATTTGTCTTCACAAGGGTTTTACAGTAGTGTACGAATCTGTTCCCACCCTCTAAGACGAGTCAGCTTTATGTAAGCACCCGAAAACATTACGCTGCGACCAAATTAGGCCAACTGTGAACACACCTCACGATAAACGTTACCACCCTCACAGACCACTCTTCTGCTTGGATTGGTACCCTTCTCCAACCACAGCAACTCTAGGCGTGCACGCCCCTCACGCCCGGTGGCCGGCGGGGGGCAGGGCCTGGACCATTCACCAGCCGCTCGACGTGGACGCCCCGAGGCCGCGGGAGTGATAGAGGGGGGGGGGGGGTCGCATAAACACATGAATAAAAGAAGGCCCAGAGCCTTGAGCCGCGGGTGGAAGGAGGGCGAGGAGGAGGAGGTGGGCGGCGAAGAGAAGGCAGACGAGCGGGACCGGCCAGGGCTAGGAGGGCGATCGCCGCCCATCAGAGGGGGCTGTCCTCGAGCAGCGCGCGGGGGATGGAGAGGGATCAGCCTCACAGCGCGGCTGGAGATGAGGCAGTTTTATTGCTTTAGTTTTCATGGTAGTCATATGGCCGAGATACAGGTTTGCATACGACAAGTCCAGCGAAAGGCCTGGGCCTGAGTCTTACTCGGGGGTCTACATTACCACTTTCTCTATCCTAAAAGATACGAAGAAACTGTTACCTTCTCGGTAGAAAAACAGCAACACGTCGTGCCATTGAGAAAGTGACTAATCTCACAATTGACACTCAGTTCCTCACGAGAGTGGTCTTCATCTTACGAAGAATTGGGTTTGTAAACGTACAAAGGATTTAGAACCACCACCACCATATTACAAACGGATTTTCTTCGTATTGCAAACTGCACCAGTTTGTGAAAAGACACGTGCTCTTCGTATTACAAAGCCGAGCCTTTCGTAAAACAAAGGATTTGTTTGTTTTACAAAAGGTCCAAATTCTTTGTATGTTTACGAAGAGCACTTTCTTTGTAAGAAACTTACAGTGTAAGCATGCAATGAAAGCGCAGAATCTTCAATGAGCTGTAAAGAATACCCCCCCCCCCTTCCCCCACTCCTTTCACCCTGAAACCCCTACGGTAACCCCTGGTACAACCTCGAGCAGTTATTCAGATTATCCTCGTTGGGGGGCGGGCGGCCGGAGGATGGGCAAGGCCGGGCGGAGGATGAGGAGCGGGCCAGGTTTACCAACCACTGCCCACTTTGCGGCCCCCCGCCCCGCCCCGCAGCTCGCTCGCAACACAATTACAGTCGAAATGTCCCCATCCCTATGTCCGTTGCCGGCCCCGGCCAGGCCCGGCCCCGGCCAGCAGCGCTCGCAGCCAGCAGGGGTCGCGTTGAGAGCACACTTGGCCCACAACGGCCTGCCCGGATGGCACACGCAAATGCAAAGGCTGTTGCGTGTCACTCTAAATTAACCCCCCACCCCCAACCACCCCCCTCACAGCCTCTCAGTCGCTCTGCCTCTGTGTGTGTGTGTGTGTGTGCAAATGTTTCGCCTGCGCCCCACTCGGTATGACACGTTGACACGTGTGCGCCGCCGGGGCCCGGGCCCGCATGGCCCCCTTCACGACGACTTATCGACGCTTTCGACGGCCTCCGCAGCTGCTGGGGCTCCCCCCCCCCCTCAACCGCCCCCACTCTCTTTCTCTCGCGTCTCGCGGACAGTTACCCACACACACTCTTTTCTCCTCTTCGCTCCCTCGCCGCCCTCTTTTTTCCAAGGCAGCCGCACATAGGGGCTTGATGTGGACAACGGATCAAAGGGATGCCCAATGAAAGGTTCCTCCCCCCTCCCTTCCATCCCCCTCGCCCCCCTCCCTTCCACCCCTTGCCCCCTTCCACTTCGCCACTGCCACCCGCTGCTGTCCTCCTCCCACCCGCTCGCACTTTCCTTGATTTCAGGTCGCCCTCTGACCCATATTTTTGTTGCAGCCCTTGTAATGACTACTACTCCGCGCGCAAACCAGTACGTGATTAGTTTCTGTTGTTTTTTGTTTTAAATTTCCCGCCTTGAATCACCAACCTACTGCTGTTTGTGTTTTACAAGAAGATCTCAAAAAAAAAAATTAGCAAATAAGACAAACAGAGGAAAATGCCGTGCTTAAATGCAGCATTGCCTGCGCGCGGCAGATCTCTCTCTCTCTCTCTCTCTCTCTCTCTCTCTCTCTCTCTCTCTCTCTCTCTCTCCCTCTCTGTGTCTCTCTCTCACGGAGGCAGGAGCTGTCGCTGTAACTGCAACCGGTTTAGACGCCAAGTGTCGCTGGGCAGCGAGCATTTTCCACTCGATAAGAGAAGAGACTGGCATCGTTTTCCGAATAAAGGGAAATCCTGGGTTGCGATGAGACGTGAGAGAGGAGGGGGGGTCACGAGAGAGAGAGAGAGAGAGAGAAAGAAAGAGAGAAAGAGATAGAGAAAAAGTGAAAGAGAGAGAGAGAGAGCGAGAGAGAGAGAGACAGACAGACAGAGAGAGAGAGAGAGGGGGGGTGGAAAGAAGGGGCGAGAGTGCCGCACCACGCCGCCCTCCACAGCATCATGTGAACGCGCCCAGCTGCTCTGCGACTACAATGGCAGGTCAGGCATAGTCGAGCCTGCGGGCGTAAGGCACTAAGGCCCCAGATGTGACTGCACGTCCCGTCGCAGCCTGCCGCGCCCCGCCCCGCCACGCCCCGCCCCGCCCGCGGGCGACCGCGGGGCAGCCGCTGCGGTGCGGTCGGGGGGCCCCATCCCCATCCCACAGTCGGCCCGGCCCCGAGGCCCCATGTCGCAAAGATTGGGAGTGATTTCCATGGCCGTTTATGGAAAAGGCAAATATGCCCCTCGGAGTGCGGTCCCGGTCCGGTCTGGTCCCGTGCCGCGCCTCGGGCTGCGCCTCCCGCCTGTGATTGGGGCCGGCCCGGTGAGGAAGGAGAGGACTCTGCACCCCCGCAGGCTAGGCTAGGCTAGATCCTCCCCCGCCCCGCGTCATCGGGGACGGAGGGCCCCTAAGAAATCTAAAACTAAGGAAAAGCACACGCCGACAACGGCTCTGTTTTGTTTTGATTTTCCTATATTTTTGTTTTTGTTGTTTTTGTTCCCTAAAAAAGATGAAAATGATCAAGAAAGACAAATGTTTTCTTTATGCTTTACACGGTATGAAAATTGTTCCTTCTTGTCGAAGGACCATCGGAACGATTCAAGGACGCCCCATGCAATTCCATCCTTGAATCCTTCCGGTGGTCCTTGAAAATCAAGGAACAGTTTTCACCGTGTATCAACACTGAGGAAAAACAAAGGTATAAGATAATATGGTGCAAGTAATTTTGGGGGGTCGGGGTGCCTTTCTAGTGATGTTAAATTTTAATGCATTTGTAAAGGGATAAAGGTGTCCAATAAAAATTGAGCATCGTTGGTCAACATTCACGCTTTGTATGAGTGATTGTGAATGCCTTTGGCCTTATCAGGTTAAGGCTATTAACAGTTAACGGTTAACAGTTCCATTTTGCATGATATTTGGGGATATAACTATGATCTTCACATTAAAATGTGTTAATATTCCATATAAACACACTTAAATGTAAAAATTATGGTTATAATTCCAAACATCATGCAAAATGGAACTGTTAACTGTTAATCGCCTTAACGGGATAACACCTTTGTAAAGAGGCATTAAACATCTCTGAGCCCATCCATTGGTTTTTCCAGGGAAAGTATTTGAAAGCGCGAAAGAGTCGTCAAACAGATTTTGCTGCGGTAAAAAAAAATTGTTTTCCGACTTACCGTGGCGTGGGCGAGGGCCGCCATGGCCACCAGCGCGCACAAGGCGCGCCGTAACGCCCCGAAGTCTCTGCGCCTCATCCTCACGGCCGCATCCTAGTCAGAAACAGAGAAAAAAATAGAAACGTAAGATGTCAATAACGATGACGAGTTTCGTCAAAAGGTTTACGCATATTAATGTCATTAGAATTGGTTGAAGGCCAATCAGAAACTCAAAATCAACATCTACTTCGCTTTAAATTCGAAAGTGCACTCGTAGTGTACTCGTATTCACATATTTCTATACATGCTTATTCTCACCACTTAGTTCCCCCTAAAAGTATTTTGATTCGTTTTCAATAGAAATAGGTTGTATACAACCCTAAGGTGTAAAATTCGCCTGAGTTACCCAGTGAAACCAATGTCGTCGGAGTTTTGGGGGTACTTTCTAGACTAGAAGGGGCGGGGCCCGTCAGCGATAGCGATGAACTGAACAACAGCGCGCCCCGCCCCACCACCTGCATCTTTAATGCCAGCCCACTGGGCCCGGCTGGGCGCGAGTCGGATGGAGAGCGAGCGAGTGAGACGGAGAGGAAGCAGAGGGGAGGGAGGGCGTCAAATTTCTCACCTTCATACACTCACATTACTTGTAACGCGCGAGCGGAGGGGTGGCTCATATACTCTATTCTCCCCTCTCCCTCCCCTCCCCTCCTCTCCTCTCACCCGCCGAGCCACTTCCCACCTTTCCTCATTCCATAGACACACCCTTCTTCTCCACGCTGCTCGCTGCCTTGATTGAGTCACATCTTTGAAAAATTGCACAAACACATGTTTCTACTGCGCATCAGATTTAGAGCCAAAATTGCTCAAAATAACAAAAACGCCATATGCATTTTTATTTTGTATTTCTCCAGTGTGGTAGAAAGAGGGCGCGGGGGGTACAGGATCGGAGCGGGCCCACTTACTGCAGCTGCGCTAGCGCGACCCAAAGGTATAAAACGCCGAATGGTTGGTCTAAACAGTGCGTAAAGGTGAAACGCCGCAGCCCCCACCCGGCAGCCTCCCTCCACTGGGCTGCTGGGATCAAGAGCTGCTCTACCCTGCTCACCAAAATAAGAAAAATTGGAAATACAGGCCAACCTGAATCGCACATGTAGCATGGCACGGAGGTATACTTCCTGGAGTCTTTCCCTGCTTCTCCTGATAGAGTACTAGGCAAACCAAGCCAACGGCGGCCTTCAGACGAGACGGTACGAAAATGGTGGCGCCTCATTTAACCGCAGGGGCGGCGCAGGGGCAGCTTCCTTTCTCTCTTTCTCCCCCCCCCCCCCCCCTCTTTTCTCTCTCTCTCTCTCTCTCCCGTCCTCCACCCCAGCTCCGGCCGGCTGGCGGCTGTCACCCTCGGAGACTTAGCCCCCCACCCGCTGCGCCCCGCCCCGCGTCGAACCCCTTTACACACCTCGTTGGCCGCGACGCGTCTGCTATCTCTGTCTCACAACCCCCGAGGGGGCTCGGCGGGGCCCGGCCCGTCTGTCTGCCCGTCCGTGCGTACGGCCCCGCCGCCTGACCCTGGGCGGCTGGGGATACCGCGGGCCAACAGCAGGCATGCAAGGCGAGCGGAGCAAAAGGCGGGAAGTCAACTTAAAAGTCAACATAGGAATGGCGGCCAACAATTTATACGCCACCTTCAATTCTGGCCCAATGTACAAATCAAACCTTCCAACCGTTCGTTTATTTCCGTGCACTGATTTGATTATGCGAATGGTAACGCAGATTTATGAAATGCCGTGCTGTTGCACAAATTGGCCATGATTGACTGGTTACTTTTTACGGATACAGGTTAAAGGGACGATCACAAATTACGTCACGCTTATTTGGACCAATTTTCGACCCTCCGTCCCATCCCTTATTGTCAGGGATAGCTGGATCCCGTGTGGAGCGAGGGGCCGGGTACGCTGCCCGCCGCGCAGCCGCGCCCGGCGGGAGGGTATCGCACGCTCGCCGGGCGCTCGCTGGGCGCGCGGCCGCAGCGCAGCGCACCGTCTCGGGCGAGATTAGAAACAACGACGCCCACCAAAAAATTAAATACAAGAAGACATAAATAAAAAAAAACACCGACAACTTTCTGTCCCTGTGACAACCTAAAAAAAAAGTAAGAGGGCAAAAAACAAAAATAGGATGCTACTACTGCCATAAAAAACAAGAGGCAAACAAGGAAGGAGTCTACGGCGAGGACAATTTATTCAGACACCCCCTAATTCACTGGCTGCGAGAGACTGCTCCTTCCCCGACCCCGCGCGCTCACGGCCGCCGCCCCGCCACCACGAAGGCCGCCAGGCAGACAGCCGCCAGGCCGACGAGATCACAAGGCAGGCGGCCAGTTCCGAGACAACAGCAAACTGCTGGCCGACCGAGCAGCAGCAGAGGACAGGGCAAGGGGCAGGGGAAAGGGTGTGCGGGCGGAGTGGTGTGCGGGGGTGGCACGCCTTCGGAAATTTAGGAAGATACATTCGAGATGAGCTGCGGTTCGCCACGCTTAGGACTCCCTTTCTCTACCACCCAGCGTCCTCTGTCGGACTCTCTGTGTGTCTGTCTTCTGTCTCTCTCTCTCTCTCTCTCTCTCTCTCTCTCTCTCTCTCTCTCTTTCTCTCTCTCTTTCTCTCTCTCTCTCTGGGCCTCGTACGCAGCCCCAGCCCGGCCCGACCGCCGCCAACAAGGAGGGAGGCGCCACCAGGACTGAACGAGTATACAGACGAATGGCAAAGGGGTGGGGGAGAGGGGGGGGCGAGTCGTAGAAGAACTGCACGAGGAAGAACATAGCAGGGCTGGGGAGCAGGGGCTGGGGGAGGCAGAGGGGTCCCAGTTAACTGGCCACCCGCCGCCGGACCGCCACTGCCTCGCGCTGATTCCCATCCCCAAAAGGACAAACGCGGAAAAGAGAAGACAAAAAAGAAAAGAAAACGGCGCAGGAGGCGGGGGGGGGGGAGAGGGGGCGGCGTTCCCATCCCGAGCCTCACTAACGGATACACTACTGAAATAACCACAGCAAACGCGCATATGATTGGCGCAATGTCAAATGTATTCGTTGGAGAGAAATTGACAGGAGGGGTGAAGGGCGGGGAGGGACCTTTTTATTTGCGCCTCTCCTCCCGGCGCTCTGTGGACAATGCCCTACCCAGACAGGGACGGCTACCCGCATGTGTTTTGCGGCCGAAAGGGCTCCGACATTGAATTGACTTTGCAGTCCGGGCGCGAGGCAGCAGGACCCCACCCCCTCTCCATGCTCTGCTGCTGCTCTTTCCATTTCTGTCAGAATGTCTGTCTGCGAATGTCTCTTTTCTAGCCCAGGCGCTCCGCTTCGAAAAAGTTGTCCGGAGATGAGCGAAAGACGATGAAAAATTTTAGTTACTAGAAGACTGCTGCTGCTAAAATTTTGCATTCCCCAAAGTAACACAAAAAATGTACTGGAGTTCGCCATGCTCCAGGCTAACTCATATTGACAACGAATGTGACAATATATATTGAACTCTGTGAAAACCGAACGTGACGTCATATGATGTGAAAAACGGTGCACTGCTAAACCAAGTGTGCAACTGCACAACACTTGAAAATGTGCTACTACAATAAGTTGAACACTCGCAAGTGCTCATAACCGTAACACTAGCAATTGTTAATAGCAGTTGCACAATTAGTTTTTAGTGTGGGGGCGAGTAGGAAAGTAGAAACCTTGCAGGTGCCCTTCTTGAGTTGCACAATTAGTTTTTAGTGTGGGGGCGAGTAGGAAAGTAGAAACGGCTAATTTGCAGAACGGAGTTGCCAGTTGCCGGCGCAAAATGACTGTCCACTCTCTGTCGACTTAGAATTCACTGACGAAGCAAGAATGGGCTGTCACAAATTTACAGTGTATTTTATTGAAAATAGAAAATAAAAAATGTGTTGTGCATTAACGTGCATTCTCATCGTTGCGTCGTGATTGGTCGTGGAGGTGCACGCACGCGGTTGCGTCTTCTCTGTGCTCCCCTCCAGCACCGCCTCAGAGAGCGCAGTGAGTGGAGCATATCGACTGCGTGCAAGTTAGAGAAAGAGGGAGGGGGTGGGGGGCTGGAGAGGGGGGGCTCCTCGGCCAGCAACAACCCGCCGCGGACGTGCGTGGAATCATGTTTGCCGAGCCATGATTTATATAGAAAATCGAAATATTGCTGACGTCCAGCGAAAAGGCGTACGCGCGCCTGCATAGTGCGGGACGAGAAGGAAAACGAGGACCCATGAGCAGGGAGGGAGGGAGGACCGGCAGCGGGGGTGGCAGGGGGTGGCGTAGAGGGTTGAGGCACGGCGAGCCGAGCTGCCAGACTGGCTAATCGCCGACGAAAAAAGCAAACGATAAAAAAAATTCACGCGCGAAAAAAAAAAAAAAAAAAGGAAATGGAAACATGCGCGAAAGGGAAACTTGTGTATGTGAGGGTGTGTGTGTGGATGTGGAGGGGAAAATAGAAACAGCGCGCGAGCAAGTGAGATTTTAATTCGCATCTAAAGCCGAGTGGTACATTCGAGACGGCTGGGCCAGAAAAAAAAGGAGCGAGGCGAGGAGAAAAATCAACTTTGTTTATTAAACGTAGTTTTATAGTCGTTAGATATAGCACACTTTTGGCCAAGGCCCAAGGTTTGTCACCTCCACTTGAGATATAAAGAGAAAAGGAATGGTTGGGAGGGGATGAGGCGAGGGTGAGAAAGAGGTAGAGAGGTAGTGGGAAGTACAGGTGGAGGGAGGGAGGGAGATAC